GAAATGTAATTAAAAGAAATCTACCCTATGCATTAACGAAACCTCAATCTTAGCGAACTCTCTCTACTTACTACAACTTTATATCTATCCAACACCCCTCCTCCCCCACCCCCCACAATGGATATCGATATCAATATCACGTTCTTGCAACAGTTTAAAAGGGGAGTGATTAGTAAAATATGTATAAATAAAAATAAATAATCCTAACTATAGGTAACATAAGATAAGAATAAACAAGTTTAAATGATTTGTTATTGGCTTTGATCATATTCTAAAGATGTTTGGATTATTGAAAAGTATACAGCTCCCTTTCATATGAGTGTTGAGAGCTGTATCCATAAATTCATTTTGTGCTCAAAGTGCACCAGATTGATGCATTTAACTTTAACATTTAAAACAAATTATTTCCCGGGGTGCATGCCCCCGGACCCGCCTAGAGGATGTGAGGTCCACCCCAAAATAAAGCAGGTTAAAATAATTAAATTGCATACATTTTCTTTTAGTAAACACTGAAAACGGGCCCCACAGACCCAAACAGCACACAAAGTATAATGTTAAAATGTGCTAAATATATAGACTGCAAAAAACAAAAAAATTGAAGTACAAGTAGCTCACTACTTGTTTTATTTTTTGAAAGTAGCTCCCATCCTAAAAAAGGTTGGAGACCCCTGCATTAGAGCGTAACAACTGTAACTATAAGTATCTGAAATAAATACGTGTACTGAAACAAATACCAATAACTGTATTGCATTGTTTTCTTATGTGCAATTACTTCATACAGTCTTTGTCTTTTTCGTCCCGCATTTATTGTGCCCCCCCTCAGAAAATGACACCAAGTCAAATTGGTCTAGAATCGCCACTGGTCTACACACACATGTATTGTTACTTACCCATTGCATGTTTAGATGCAGTATTTGACCCATACATTTATAAAGTCCACACACTACATATATAGTGTGCAAATTATGCAAGAAATACCCATAGGCTCTTTTTACAGCATTTGTGAAAACAAATGGATTTAAGCACCATAGACAAACGGGGGTTGTGGTTGTATTTGTGTTTAAAACAACCCTAATACAGCATTAAATGCAATTGATTTACATGACACCCTGTGCTTTAACACAACAATAACACAGTTGGAAATAGAGTGAGCATACATGGGAGCACAGTTGCCTTATGGAGGCTAATTGTAACAGTAGAGTGGTGAGTTTTAATCGGGGGAGCTGTTGGAGACTGCTGAGAGTCACCTCCTCATCATGATGAACCATTCGCTTTTTTCCTGCAGTAACACCCACATCTAAAATGTTGGTTAAAAAAATCAGTGTCCCAAACAGCATGCCTTTAGGATTAAATTAGTTTTAGAGTTACAGCAAACACAATGGGTTTGCTCTAAGGTAAAGGTAGAAGGTGGAGACCATAACAAGGAAGTGTTTTAGTGCCTGAGGGTACAGAGTTCACATACTCTTGAATAAGGAAAGGATAATAAACATGCACACATAAAATCATTTCAACCACACCAAACTGACAAAAGTATCATGATTTTAGATAAAATAAACATTGCAAAGCCATATAATTACTTACTTTTCTTAATAATACAACTCAACTTATATAATATATTTGTACTGATGCATTTTAAATTCAGAAAATGTGTTAGTTATCTACATATTGCAAATGATGACTTGAATACATCAATAAATTGTATTGATAAAGCATTTTTTTATCTGAAAATAAATAATTATAGTCATTTTATATCTGATAACTGAGGGGTTAGTGAACCTAGACACGTTTAAGGATATAGAAGTACCATCATATACAGCAGACATATTTCCAATAAAGGACAAAATAATATCAGTGTTTGGCATTTAGGTTGATACTCAAAGTGAGTGAAATCATAGCAAAATCTTTAGAAACAAACATTATATGGTAATATAATAATGTTTCATGTAATATAATACAAGTTGTATGGTAAAAAAACAAAAAACAGGTAACAGCAGCTAAAAATAATAAATAAAATAGAAATGTATGTGCTGCACAATTTAAAGCTTGATTGCATTTTAGGGTAATTCAATTTTAAATCAATACAATTTAAACATGTATGTCCACCATGACAATTCATTTCAATTGTAATTGCTCATTACATTTCAGATGGTAATCATACATCACACATTCATCCT